GGATGAAAAATATCCAGTTAAAGTGTTACAACATGCAAGTGAGAGAATAACAAAGGATGAAAGTCTAGATGTTAGCTAAACGTTAGTTAATGAAATGAAACATGGCCCGTAGGAGTAGAGGATTTTCGTAGATTACTAGTATTCGATCATAGGCGTCTTCGAAATATTGCTCGTATATCCTGGGATCACCGAGTAAGTAATGCAGTTATTAGGAAACAGGTATTAGGTAAGGATGACAAATCAGTTGATGAAGTAGTGAAACTTCATCATTTGAAATGGCTAGGACATGTGTTACGTATGCCCAACCACCGCCTGCCTCGATGTTTTATCGTATAGGAGTAGATTGGAAGAAAGCTAGGGGCGGCCAGACCAAAGCATGGCACAAGTCCATGAAGTCACTGACGAGCGGACTGAGTCATATTGGTAGGTGTAGACTACCTGGTCGGGGACCGCAGGATGATAGCAACCGATGGTTAGAGATCCTGAATGACATGGCTCAAAACCGTTTGCAATGGCGCAGATACATCCACTCTTTGTGTTTCCCCAAATCTTAATCTTCTGAATTCTTCATATCCCTTTCTTTTTTTCCCTTTCTTTTTTTCCCTTTCCAAATTTATTTCACTGGATTATACTCCTTGAATAACACCTTCAAGCCCTAATGTTTCCGATTACTGCTTATATTCTTACCACCTCTACCACTATGGGATTTGCATCGACAACTCCATCTCTGTGCTAATGTGTTATGGCGACTCGAACTGATGTACTTACGTACGAAGTTCTACGTTATTACTGACTGACTAATGAAATGTAATAACCATATACACCCAAATGAAAGATTTGTTTATTATTTAGACTTGATAATGCACTACAAGTGATTAGGATTAACAAATCTATAAACAAATTGCTCGTATTAGTAGTATATACTATGATCTGTTACTAAGATGCAAGTTTGCTGTGTGTCAATTTGACCAAATCACGATACACTGTAGAGATCATGTTTTATATAATTGTAAGATTTTCAAATTGAACTGCAAATATTGTATATGGTTCAATTGACTCTTAGTTCAAAGAATGTTTTACTTTTTAAAACTCTGAACATATCCCTGTTATTCAGAAATCTTCACTGAACTGCAGCTTTAGTGACTTTTTCAAAACGTTAGAATCTGTAAATCGAAAATGTTCGTGGTTTGCATTTGTTATTCAAACACATATTTAATCGCCAGTGTCTCTTTTATTTAATTGATGATTTGTAGTTCAAAATTTCCATGATAGTATGTAGCGAATGTGCTCATTCAAAATGAGCAGGTCAAATTATATTTAACATTTGTGTCAAGCAGTGAAATCTGAGACCTGGGTTTCATTTAGTTAAATACTTGTCATCTAGATTTAACTCAACTTTGGTGTTGGTGTTCCCACTGAAGCTCACATCGTCTACTCATGGCTTCAAATACCAAACCATTAATCAGTAGGTTACTTGACTACGATGAACACCATTTGCTCAGCAACTATTGTATTTCATTAATTGTAATCATGTCAGTTTTGACATTTGTGATATTAAGTAATTAACTGACAAGATTTTGCTAGTATACAGGTTACTTGAATATATACTTTAATCCTATGATTATTTATGAAAAATATATCGAATTCATTCAGATCGCAACAGATCCTGATCAATGTAGCCCTTTGTAAAGTATCAATATTTTGAAGTACATATATATACAAATGATGATACCAATTTACAGATATGATCTGGTTTACGCATAATGAGAAACAATATTTAATGTAAATACAAATACATTATTTGAAGTGACATGACTTATAAACTCTATTCACCGATGATTTGCTACACAATATTGTAATTCATTCGATACACAAGGAATAAGGAAAAAATGTATCATCATCTATATAGTACAAGAATAAACAAATGGTAACATTTATTAGTCACATAAGTATATGATTGTTATTAGTAAGTAGTGTATGAAAAACATATAATGTACTAAGAATATGATATGAATACGTCATTTTGAATATTTTTGAAATCTGAAACCTTTCACATAAAATATACTTCCAACAATTTATTCACTAATAGTATATCTTGACATTCTACAACAGTTTCGTGTTCATCACTAATTGGCGTCATTATTGCTAATAGTAGGAATAGATAGCATAATGTTAGGTAGTTTCACTATAGTTAAACGTTTCACATAATCATCCACATCACTATTTTGTATAGTATATTTGAAAAGTTCTTTGATTTCTAGTATCAAAATAAAAGCTCAAATGACTTGTTATTACTTATGGTTTATTTTTCAGACTAAAGATAAACGCTTTCTATCCTGAAAAATTTCATTGTATCTAGTACAATAAGACAAATTAAGTGATTAATATAAAGATTAAAACACAATGATCAGTAATGAACAGATAAGAGTAAAATGTACAGTGTTAATAGAATTGTCTATTAAATTTTTGATTAAATAAGGGTTTTAAGGGAGCGGAGTGACATTTTAGTCTTTTGAATAAAAAGTTCAAATATATCATATAATGTGCATAAATGTTACCGATTCAAGATGGATGATAGATAATCACTAATGCGATATTTTTTTATGTATAGATACATATTCATATTGTGACAAGTTAAGAATGACAACCAAAGGGAAATGTGTTGTAACATAGTACATTGTGTAACTGAAGATTCTTTGACATGACCGAATCTATGATACTAGGACGAGACGAACCATCCAGTGCTTCCAGGTTTTCAATGGTGGTCTATTTTTAATCGACTCATGAATTCAACTATTAAAAAAATTACTACAATCTCCATAAACCCCTATTCAAATATTTTAGTAGATAAATTGTAGTTTACTTGACTTAGTGTTATTGTATTTATTTATAGTTTAAACTAATTCTCTATGATACGTTTATGATACACCAAGACTTATCTATCATATAATGATTAGAATAGTTATAATGATTAATTCACTTGGTATTGTTTTACTTGAATGTTCCCATTGATGTTTTAAGACTGAAATTGATCAGTCTGTTATTGGCATATGTGCATACTGTGCATATGCCTCGATATTGCCTCAATTTACAAGCGTTATAAGCAAAGATGGATAGCGACTAGTAGTAGAATCCAGGAGACGCACTTCATCTTATTTGGGACTCGTCAGCTGGACGTACCTGCATCACAGAATTGATGTCCACTCTGGGACTCGAACTCAGTACCGTTCGCTTCAAACGCCATCGCGTTATCCTTTTAGCTACTGAGTCCTGATAGGACTGAAACTGATCAGTCTCGTTTGAAGCGAACGTTATTGAGTTCGAGTCCCAGAGTGAAAATCAACTCAGATGCAGGTACATTCAGCTGACAAGTCCCAAACAGGACGAAACGGGCGTCCTGGATTCCACTGCTAACCACTATCCATCATTGGTTATAACGATTTTGTTGTTGTTGTTGTTGTTGTTAAATTATAGATATGCATTCTATTGACTAAGATTTATATTTCAATCAAAATGGATTACAATGAAATGTAATAATGAATTTTATGCTTAACAATCAAATAAATCTCTTCATGTAATTTGTAAATGTCTTTTATTTGAGATTTAAATTGATGTATTGAAATAATTGGTACATCGACTAAATGTTATGTATAATAATTAGGATCTTTTGAATGAACTTTTACGTGTAATGATTCAAATCCAACAATACATCATTGGCTTTACTAATGTTTTAAAGAATTCACTTTTTTCCTACATTATAAGCAACTGGAAAGTTACTGATAACTATATTTGGTTCTGTATTGATTGGTCGTTGAATATATACTAATTTAATGTTTGTTTAATCCTTTAGTATTGATCGAATTCTAGAGATTAAATTATGATTTAATCGCTAGTCTAAGTGACTCGATAACGTATACACTATACTTTTCACGTTAGATAGTCGAAAGTAATTACTAAGGATCTCTGAACTCATGTTTAATGCCAGTGGACACTAGTCATCAATTGGAAAACTAATGCGCTCTGTCAAATTCAATGATGTAACATTTAGTTTTGCGTTATCCTTATAATCTTGTTTAACAGCAATGAATCGCTCAAATGAATTTTTGATTGGTAAAATATCACAACAGAAATGAAAATTTAACTTCGGTTAACGTTAATTATTCTCATTGCATTATCGAAATTTATTAAAGGGACTAATTGTTTTAAATTTATTCAATATAGTTCATATGACTATCTATCTGAAGTTTGTGCTGATGTCGTTCAGAAGAACGATGAAAGCTCCACGACCAAACTATCCAGCTCAGAGAACGAAACTCCATCAAAATCTTTATTATTTGTCTAGAATATCATGAAACCTGTTATTGTGAAAGTATATTGTTTATGAATGATATACATTCTTAATTGACTTAACTGAAAAACAGATTTTGAACACGTATTTTAGCGTTTACTAAGGCTCTCAATATTAATGTCGTTTATAAGTCTGCCCATTGATGCTGTAAGAAAATTATTGATAAATATAATGTCTCAATAGTTGAGATCATTAGTCATTTGAAGCTAGACCACCATGGAAAACCTGGAAGCACTGAACAGCTGTTTTGTCCTACTTTGGCACTCCTCAGAAGTACTCATTCACGATCCCGCCTCGCGGGATTCGAATCCAGGACCTATCGGTCTCGCGTGCGAGCTCTTAACCACTAGACCACTGAAACGACTCATAATCTCAACTCTTGAAATTACTACAATCTCCACAAAACCCCTTCTGATACAAATATAATGTTACCTAGAGAAGAGAAGAGAATCTGTGTGATCGATAAAGTTGATCGAATGATTATTTCACGTCCAAAACTAAGATTAAAGCATAGAAGGTAACACAATATTGATTAACTGATTAGTTAACAAAATTATTTCCTAGAGAAAGAACATTAAAAAATAATTTCCATTTGTATGTTTTATTTTAATGAAATAATAAAATCAAACTGTTGATAAATTTGATTTTTCAGAGATGGCAAGAATTATTCGATCCTCAAAAAACAGGCATAATTACACTTTCAAAATTTTGTGATGTATTAGGATTGGAACTGGAAACTTTGTAAGTGATTCATGATACATTTTTGACGTTGACTATTAATATTTATGATGAGTTTACTATAGAGTCCAATATTGTATTTGCTTTGTTCGATAATCTATACTAAAATCACTCATTAAGACAATTTAAAACATGGGACTTCTAATGGAGGCTTATTTGTGAAAAAATAATCAAATGGGTTAGTATCACACCGTATACAGTATTTCGCATTTCTATTAGAACAGGTACAAATTATATAATATAGAGGATTTTATGTAAATTGAGGTTAGAAAGGTTAGATTAGTGATTGTCATTGTAGCAACGCCAATATATAATAGTAATAATGATTAATCCAAACAATATGGTAAAAATTACCTAGTCCCCAATAAGTGAAATGTGGATTATGGAACGATTGGTTTTTCAAACTGTCTATACAAACCACAGAACTACAGTTTCGAAATATGTAGCAATCGTTTATACTTGGAGTTAGTTCAACTGTTTCGTCCTAGCACGGTATACTTCAGTATCTGAGATAGAGAGCGGTTTCTTAGAATCTCATCCTGAGCTCTTAATCTCTAAACTATTAGATCAAGCTATAATAGTTCAAAGTTCCAATGTTTTATCATCATCGTTCAGATTGTTCGAACAATGATTAATTCAATCCAACCTGATGTGAAAGTAAGACATTAAATATTATCTGGATCATGCTTCATTTTATTGTTAACCATTCGAAAATATATCTACTGTAAATTACTGTGCAATTACTTACAAATCAACTCATCATTGAAATACCTGGTTTCTGGAAAAAAGATTAAGAATTTTCAGAATTCAATTTCATTATTATTACTATTATCATTGTTTATTGAGTTAAGTGGATGAATCAGCATGGATTTTTCAATAGATTTAGTTAGTTGTCTATGTGTATCTAACTGTATACACATTATATTTATCCAAAATTCAGTTTTCATTCGGTTTTTTATTGTTTTCTTTATTAAAATGAAGTGAATTCGATAAATGTTTACTTTCATTCACATGTTCTACGTTTTGCTTAATACTTGCAATTCATATCACTGAGTTAGTTCATTTGAAGTACGATAGTTTTTGAACGACTCACGTATTAAATAATCGAATTTTAAGATATCCACGTTACTTTTAAGACCATTAAAAACAGCTTTTTAATAATAATTTTAGACTCATAAACAGCACGGATTCACAGTTCAACACAAATGGTATGGACTAGGACATACAGAGTTTACTAAGACTACGATACCGTTAGGTAACCAAGTTAGAACACGATGTTCTATATTTTCAGCTGTAATGAATTTGAGATATAACCCTACCATTATCAAGCAGCATTGGTGAAAAATGATCCCATTTCCAAACTGATTAGTTCTATAACAAAATTATTGGAAGATTCACTGAAGAACTAGCTTCGGTATGGATTTCTCAGACTTCTAATCCAATACATTGAACTGTGGATTTAATGAAGTCATGGATTGAGACTGATTGTTTCAACAGTGAAGTCGATGACAGTGGCGTTGTATGACAAATTAATTCACTTTAAAATGATGACCTATTATATTTAAACTAAATAGTTTAAAATTATCTTGTTCATCATGATTCATGAAATCACTCATTTCTATTCAGTGTATGATGACCGCCATACACAACAGCGTTTAAAGCTACAATAAAAAAATCTATTGATTGTTCCTTGATATCCAGTATTTCTCATACTGTTAACTACTCTCTACAAAGTGAATTAATCTTTATCAACTACCTAACTAAACAAATCAATAAATTTTTGTGAATAAATAATATAAAAAATAAATGATTAAAGTGCACATTTTAGTTTAAGCAGAAATATCAGTATCTAGCTGATTTATTATTAAAACTATGAAGTTTATCCTTTGATCAGTTAGTTTGCATATGTACAATCAACCATTTGACTGAAATCTCATTGCATTCATTTTGTTGTATACAAAAAGTTAAGCAATATTTCGTTTCATTTTATATGTTCTGATATACTTTTGAAAACACTTTTCAAGTGTATAGTAAAATAATAAATAAATGTGTTTTTAAAAATAGTTTGACAAAATAGACTGGAAAACGAGAAGAATTCGCTTGCGTACCTCTCCTTAGTCCGCCGAACTGATGGAAGCTTATCGATTATGTTAAATTAGAATAAGGATTGCATTTGAATGTACCAACATGAGTTATGGATGACTTGTACCAATTCACATAAGTATCAACTCAAACGTTAAATAATAAGCAACAATGTATTGTCGGTTTGAAACTTAAACTGCTCTGGAGAACAGTGTCTATCGGACGTTAGTTTGTTTAACTAATGACCAATTTAAAGAATAATAAATAAATTTTTGTTTACTCTGAAGAAGTAGCTTGCATTAAGTCACGAAACGTCAAAAATATATTTATCATTAACTCTCTACTCAATGCTCAATTTATCTCAAACTATCGAGTCCAACCTTCGTATTGATATTATTAATTAAAATAAAATTATTCACAAGGCGACTTCTTAATTTTCATTTATGTGATCCCAAAGAGAACATATTTTTTAGTTCGGACAATTTTATGAATTATAGGATCTATAGTAGATCAGGAAATAATGATAGTTGAGAAATTATTTTAAATCCGAGAACACTGAACAAATATATGGTCCTAGTTTATTGCTTTTTGATCAGTGCACATACAGGTATGCTTATAAACGAAATGAAATCCAGTACCTTCATCTACATCTAATATTATTGTAATCTAACTTGAACCGCGGTAGAATTTTAAAATGTGGGCGATTAGGTTTAAGAAAAAAAGCTTCCAGTCACCCATTCAAGCATTAGCTGATTAGTTAACTGACTACAGTATTCAAAAAAATAAAGCTCAGCCACCGCCCACCTCGACAGGTGATGTTAGCTAGTGTAAGGATTGGTTAGAACAAAGCTTGGTGTCGTCAGATTAGAAGTTGGTATAATTTCATACAATCATTAAATATTGAACTGAGGCAGTCAGGTAAGTTCAGAATTCTTGGTTAGTGTTAGTGAAATTATCGTAACCAATGGTTAGTTACCTTGGTTGACATTTTTCAGAGTCCGTTGTAATGACATACATTCATCCACTCTTTGTCTTCCTTTATATCTACATTTTAAAAGTATCTAATGTTTTTTATTTCATTCTTTCTTATTCAATCATATCGTACATATCTAACCTTTTTTTTCTGCAACTGATACTGTTCCTGATTCTACCATTTTGAGATTTGTCTTGATCATATCAGTTTGAACCGACGAAGATGTAGGTCAGGTTTTAAGGTTCTATCTGATTAACTGATTGTTTTAAGACTACGAGAATATAAGAATTAGTATTGTTAAATGCCTACGTGATTTATTCTAATATTTGGACATCAAATTCTTACTCATGATTTCAACCTGTGAAATTTCCTGAAATCTCATTCTGATTCTTACTATATATGCTACCACCCATATATTTACCCTTGTCAATTGTTAACGTGTAAACTTGAGCATGTTTATACATGTGTATGTTAATACATGTTTGTCTATCTATTTCCTGTATTTCTGAAATAACTTCAATAACTGAGTCACTTTATTATTCTCTAAATCGGTGTATTACCGAACTTCAATGCTCCATGCAATCTCAGCATCCTTTATTATTTGTCTACCGTTCATAATAGAATGTCGGAAATATCTGTATCTTAAATACAATTCATGTTAGACTTTTGATGTACCATTGTTCTACACGTGTTAATTCAACAGAACACGAAGTAAACATTATCTATACTTTACTAAAGCCAATATAGTCCAATCTTTATGGATTCAGTCAAACGGTCTTGAAAAGAACACCATCGTCAACTGTTTTCCATGTTTTGATTGTTTTTTTAATGGGTTTTTTTCCAAAGAAAACTATGTTTCATTTAAAAAATTTTCTGACCATATTTACAAGTGATGTTTTAATCTGTTATTCGCCTTTCATAGTGTGGGTATTTATTCATATGATCGTTGGAATGCTGGCATATTTTTCCAATTAATTCAAATGTTAGCTATCAAATATAGCCATTTCGTTTCCAGTGGGAAATTCACTTTTCTTTCCTTAGAAAAAGTGACATTTTGTTTGGTTTCAGTCTGAAATAGTCAGTCAGTCAGCTACAACGTAGGACCAGGCACATATGTGCATCGGTCCAGGTTGCCATACCTCATTAGCACAGCAAGATGAACAGCGGATTCATAGGAGTGGTTAGGTCAAAGGTTGCAATAAGGATATAGTATAGGAAGAAAGAATTAGTTCGTAGACAGAAAGAATGAAGTGATTTTAGTCTGAAATAACTAGGACACTAATGAAATAAAATGGTTTTACCAGGATTTTGTTATGCTTCAAGAGTGCTTTTTATCAGAAGAAACGGCAAAAACCAGTCGGCATTGTTTGTTGAGCCGAATTTAAATTCGTTTTTCTATTGTACTTAAGCCTTTAAAAAAAACACATCAATTTATATCATAATAATAATGCAACGTCATGAATTCACTTGTTTGATATAAACTCAACGATCATAGATGAACTGGACTACGATCGTAGATACAGGCTGGTTAAGCACAACTAAATGCTTCTGACTAGTGATTGAAAACTTTGGATGTTGGTGCTCAGAATCGTTCATAGTGGTGGATATTCCATCATTTGTTATCCTGTTATAAGTGTTGAGTAACTTGGTCTGCCTCATATTTGTCCTAGGTTCCGTTTAGACAATGACTGAATAACTAGATGGTCATGACATATCAAAAATCGGTTAAAAATGATATTGTGTCCTACTGGTTTCCGTCTCAGTGGTAAAGAGACTTTTTCGTTAGAACGCGTAAAATTAATATACTTCATTTCGTGTGAGTGTCTTTGATGTTGTAGTGTTCGGAACTTTAATTGAACATATAACCACTAATCTTGGATTATCTATCGTTCTCTAACTGATTTCAGTTTGTAACAAAAAACTATTTATAAACTGTGCAAATGTCAACATAAACAATAACTAGTTACAAAATGTTTGTTTGTGTTTTTTGTGTGTGGTTGGGTGATACATTCTACCGTTTAGACGATTCAAATATGTTGAACAAGAAGAATTAAAGGTGGCAACAGATTTACATTCTTCACTGGAAAATGTACATGAATTTCGAAAGAATGGTCAAACAAATAATCACGTAAATAATATAAATAATGCAAACAATGTAAGTGTATCTTTTGTAAAACTGCTTTTTTTTTTTGTATTTATTGAAACATTTGTGTGAAAGATATACGTTTTTGTACACATCATTCTATAAGGCCCGGTTCCATAGATTCCAACAACACTGGAACCAAACTCATAATATGTCGTAACGTAAATTTAGTAAACATAGTCTCGGTTGTGTTATAAAGCAAAACGCGTTCATGTTCTTGATGTAATACAGTATTTTTATGCTTATTAGTGTTGATACGGATGTAAAATGTTATAAGAGTGAGTCGGAAGTGTGCGAACGCAACATGATGTCCATAAATGAATATGAAAATAATGCTTATGTTTTAAAACTTATGTATACCTTGAGATGTTATCTTTGAATATACTTTTAAAGTACTAGAACTGGAGGCTTGTTTAGTTGTACAGCGCTGCAGACTAACTAAATATGGAACTAAAAACTATTTAATGCCAACTCAGTTGTGTAAAGGTAACGCATTTGTCACAAGACCTCAATGTCTTTGGCTATCTCTAACAAGATTTTCGGTATAGACCAAAGAGTAGTTCCTTACTTGGACAAAATAGTTCTTCAGTACATCCTGGTTTCCAATAATTACCTGGTTTCGAATTGCTGAAGTAGTCGTCAGATTCGTATTTTGCTTTACGTTTAAAAATGATCAGATTTTGAATAGATAGCTGCCTTTTACAAGATATCTTATCCTAAATAGATATCGAATTAGTGTATTCGACTATACTACTTTTTAGCCGTAAAACTGGGAGTTTGGTGATTAAGTAGCGTTCATATCTCTGACAAATCTCTGATAGTCATTTGTGAAATGTTTTATTTTTGCAAACATTTACTTTAATCTAGAAAAGGCGAGTTACATTAGGAATCTTTTATCATTCAAAACTGATAGAATGTTAATAAATGCATACAGTCGATGACAAAACAAAGAATCTATTATAATAGACCAGGTTTGTGGAAGCTGTTCCCATTAATTTTTCAATATATCAAGAAATGAAATCTATTGAAGGGCCATTCCGAATTCTAGGATACTGAATATCTAATTCATTCAAGAGTGATATACTCTTTACTCAAGATTGATAATGAGTCTCTTAATAATTGTGATGTTGTAGACAAGCACTAAGTACAATAAATGTTTTCTTATTTTGATTAACTGATAAATAACCCATAGATACATCTGTCTTATCATAGTGAAAATCATTTTAATAGACTTTTTCTAATACCTACTTTGTGTCATATAATTTATATAAAAATGCGTTATTTACCAGGAAAGAACAAGTGTCGTTACTGTATAGTTGTTTAACCTTTTAATTTGCATTTGTTTGATATATTTTCAGTTTTGTGGAGTAATCGTTATCAGTAACTATCGCAACAATTCTGAAATTCAGTTACTCATCAAAGGCACTACACTGCTCTGTCATGATAGTTTCTCATCTCTAGCATCAATCGGTGTAGCTAGTTTTAATAAACTAGGTCATTATATACGATTTCATAGTAGTTACTGTTCATAAAAACCAATTTTATTTCATGATGTAACTCTTTGTGCTGATAAAGTCGAATTGCGGATATGAGTGTAATCTAGAACTTGAATTTGGTCCCATTTACTAACTTGTCAGTTGAATGTATCTATATTTTAGTGTTGATGCCCATATCGGGATTGGAACCCAGTGCCTAACGACATAAATACCTAGGCATTATTCACTAAGCTACTATGTCCAGTAAGATTACTACCGGACACAAACTATTACAAATAACTTTTAATTATAATTTATATTTTTTAAAACTGTGATTGATTTCTTTTCATTCTGTCGACAAAAATAAATAAAAAATACAGGGATTACCAAATGAATTAATCAAGCCAGTTGATTATCAAGAGATCTCTGGTGATATGCCAGAAGAATTGAAAGAGACAATCTTCACTATAGTTACAGAAGGTGAAGACATTTACCACAACAACGATAAAGTAAGTTTGTTTTATTATTGTTACTATTAGTACTGTTATTTGTAAAGGTTTATGATTGAGACCATGAACCGATCAATATTAGACCACCACTGAAAACCTGGAAGCATTGGACGACTATTTCGTCCTAGTATGTTGTTGATATTAAGAGCTGAATTTTGATTAGTCTCTGAAAGAGCAAACAGACTAATTGAAAAGTTGTTTAATTAATACTTATATTTAAAAGTTAAGTATATTTTGAATAATTGCTAGAAGCGGAATCAAGGCAGTGGGTTTCTTCTTTTTGGAGCATATAATCTTGGTGTAGCTACATCTTAACTCTAATGTCCTCATTACTTAAAACGTCAGAGGGTTTATTTAGTGGACTATTGAGTTACGAAAACCATCAAGTTATTTTATGTGTGTGCTATCATTAGTTGTTTGTTAAGAACCTACTGAAGTTCAATTTTTTATTGTTTTTCCATGGATACTAATTTCATTACGTATACTTTGTGTTTGTGTTCATGACAGAATAATTCGTTTTTCTTGAGTGTTGCATGTACTTTAAAAAAGTACCTATTATATGTGGGTACAGAGAAGTAGCGTATATACTTATCAAGTTATTTGTGTGCTGATTTGAATGTATCGGTAAAAAGTGTGACTGGATGAAGATTATTCAAAGGGAACTAAATGAATGGTTTAAATCCGTAATATAATAGATACGAAAATACAGGAAAACTGATCAACAAAACTTACTGTATCTCAAAACGGACATTAATATTCAAAATATTCAAGATAAAATTTCACATTATTGTAAGTCACTGGAAATATAAATGACTGTAGGAAAAATATTGTTAAAATTGCACATTAGAATCATTTAAGGAAGTAATCAGGATTTTTTTTTACCATCACACAAAATCGGGTCATACTCAAGCACGTTATACAACGATGTTTCGTGACTTAATGTAAACCTCTTCTTCAGAGTAAATAAATATTTATTTATTGGAGCGAATACTTTCAGAACTCATCTCTCTGTACTTCATTTTCTACTCCTAATTCTTCGTTTCCACTGATATTGTTTAAATTTCTTTGATTTTTATATTTTCACATTATTTTCACTTTGTTGATGTATTTTTTTATATTAAATAAATGAACTGACAAACACTTGTGTTAGGCTGTACAATGTGCTTGACTGATTAACTGTTTCGATCAGAGCTTCACTATATCCATTGCATAATGAATCTTTATGAATTAATAGACTATGAAACTTATTTACATAATTTAAAGGTTATGGAATATTTATAAAATCGTTCTCTTCAATTTCAGCTCAGTCTATTTGATGAATTTATAAGAAATCATTATTTCGACATTTTAAGGAGTAAGGATTTAGTAATCCACAATATTAAACTTTGTTAATATAGGACAGTAACTGACATTTTTAAAAATGGGTTTGTAGGTAGTGATGAATGACAAGCATTCGTACACATACATATTTTCAATATTCTTGCTTGATTGAATAAACTAGTAATCATGGATACATTGAATTGGATTCCCTAATTGCGCATCAGTAGTTTAATTCACTACTGTCCATACGATTAAGTCCGTGCATACATTTTCTTAGTTTAATACAAACTATTTTTCACATAGACGTTTAAAATAACTTGAGTAGACAGGCTTTGTCATAGTATATCAGTTCTTTACATAAGATAATCTTCTTTTGAAGTCCTTCAACTGTCGAACTGTTTTTTATGTACTGATTAGTCTATTTTTATAAGTAATTTACATATAAATTCGTGACTGTATATAGATTTGACATTGCTGCACAAATGCATTCATATTAAGGACTAATAGAATTGCATAATTTTAGTTTGGTTTTCTATTACATGAGCATTAAATTTTCCTGCTTCCTTATTCAGTGACTATTTATGGTTTATACGACGTGTAGAAATTGTGTTATATTAACATAACTATTTGAAGCAATGGGATTAATAGAATTTAGCAAAATAAAATAAAAGTCATATGTCATACTTATTTGGATCGTAAAATTTTACAGTTTGGCTGTCAGAAATAGGTTTAAAATACTCTTCAGTGAAACTCAATATTCATCTGAAGTCTCAATGAATAATCGGTTAATTTTAATGAAGACTTGGAAATGGATTTATAACTGCGAAGGTTCTCACTAGAGAGATAATGTACACATTTGACATCCTACGAATAGTTTCACAATGACTCGTTCGGTGGCATATATTTTCCAAATCAGGTTACACGAAACAATTCATTAGTCTCTTACTTTGAAAGTAGTGATCTGAGTACTTTAATGAGGAAGAGGAAAATTATGTAGTTAACCTAGTCGACAATCAGAATAGGTCTCAATACGGTCATATGAGAATTATATAAGATGAAGTAAAATATGAATCAAGTATGCTTACAACTGAGCTGTCCCTGAATGAGAATGAATCAGTTGTTCAATAGTACACCTTAACGTCTGATGCTGTTATTTAATGATGAAAAGTATTGCAGGATGTACGGTAGAACACTGACTGAGACTGATGACGTTTTATAAACTCTCACAGATTTCACTGGTTACTTTCATTAAATTTATGACTGAACATATTTAATCAGTACATAATCTGTTAGGATGTAAATGGCATAAATTAAAATTCTTCAATGTATTGTCGTAAACGTGTGGTGTGGCTATATGTCCCTGCCTATTATTGCCTAAAAAATCCTTATACATAGGCTCAAACACCAAGCAAATTATTGTGAGAGATATCAACAAATACATTGTTTAGTGTAATTTTAGTCGTTAACAAGTGAATGAGAAAACCAGCGCTGTTTAAATTCCAATACAAACTTAGCTGAATTGATGTTTCCGAGTTAATTAGTTAATTGAAACAAATCTGTATTTAATTAAGCAAACATTTTAGCGTGAAAAACGATTTTGACCCTTCGATTTTAATTAAAGTGAATTGTTCTTTCTAAATTACTTCTAAATTCATAACATAAAGAAGTGATTCCAATAAAATTCGTTCAATGAAAAATTACCGAATTCATTCAAAAATGTATGAATACAAAATAGACTACTTGTGAATAAGCACATGAAA